GATGAACCAATATTAGATGTAGTATCTGCCATTTTAACAATGGGATTTTATCCCAACGTGTGTTATCATAAAGAAAAACGAAAGGTTACTTTTTAGTTTTCATTTACAAACATATTTTAATTATTTAAATGTATCAATACAGATATTGTTTAGGATCTAAAAATTCTGAAAAAAAAACTTTTTATTGTATTGTTTTAGTTAGTTTGTTAGATTAATTAATTTGATATTAAAAGACACCAGATACTCTTTTTCAGTTAGACACACGTATTCAGGGTTAAGGGTAGGCAAAGGGGGCATTTGCTACACCTTGGTAAAATCAAGGGGTGCCTCAAGCTTTGATAAACCGCGTTGTTGACTTTTCAACTTATATTGGTGCCCCTGGGCGCCAAAAAGCTTAAACTGTCCTGCATGTATCATTCTAATATCTTATGACTTTGTGATTGTGTTATAAAGACTGAACATAACTGGTGTCTTCTTAGTTCTTATATAGATATGCTGTTTCAAACATCTTGTTGAAATTCAAATTAAGAACAACATTTTTTGAGAATATTTCACCGTGACATTTTTATTTAAGTGCAATTTAAAGTAAATATTTTGTTCGTTATATTTTTCATTTTATTCGCATTGCAAATAATCACTATACATGGTGGTAAATACATAATATTGATTTTATTACAATGAATTTATGGTTTCAGTCTGATTGATGATCATTTTATAATATGGAATATGGATATTACATATAATTAAATGTATTAACATGTATTAAATGTTTTTATATAGGTTTACACAACGGAAGGAAAGGCTGCACTTATTCATAAGACATCTGTAAATTGTAATAATGTCATGGCCGGTCCTTTCCAATCACCATTCTTTGTATTTGCTGAGAAGGTAAGATATGGCATATTCTAATCTAAATTAATATTACTTGTTAAAATTGTATAACTCTACGAAATCGAGATTTGTCAAGTAGGCTTTTGTTTGTGTTTAATATTTAGGTTCTCCTGACTTGTCCCCTGGTGGCTGGTATACTAAATTGTACAAATATCAGCTTGAATTAAAATTTGTTAAGTGTTACATTTTAGTGATTAATATGGATCTTGGATTAGTATTTAGTAGTTTAACACTGCCAGTGTACAGATAGCTTTTCAAAGTTTAAATATGAGAAGAATTATTTAAGAAACACACTAGTCATTGACTCAAAAGCTGTTAAAAAGTTTTATGTTATGTAATGAGTGTTGAAAAAGACTTATTACTAGGGTGCGGATTTGTATGTATTTACATATTTGTCATGAATGATAGTATTCGAATGATTCCTTTACAGAAATATGTTACAGGTCTATCTGATTATTTTAAGTTATGGTTGATATTACATATTTTTACATATTTTACTGATATTACATATTTTTGTTAAATATTGAGCTATTTACAGAATTAGTAATGTATCGCCGTTTTATATTATGAGTACCTCATTAAAATCTAATTTAGTGTACATATCCTCCAATACTACATTCCTTGCCAATTCTATTACTAAACTCGAAGCTCAAAACTTGTCTCTGAATGATAGCCTGGGTATTGTCTCTAACACCGTCAACAAATTGAAAGAAGCCCCTGGGGAGGGTTGGAATAAAAATTTAAAAAAAAGTTGAACAAGTACTTAATAAAAACCCAGGTTTAAAGACTATTGAAGCTATTGCAAACGGCATTCATAACGGCAGCGATATGCAAACTTCTTTTCAATTTAGTGTAGCTGAATTAGGAGCTTTTAAATTTGCTTCTATAACTTCCGTTAATGTGGAAAGATCCTTTAGCTGCTATAAAAACATATTGCGTCCTAATCGATGTCGATTTACTTTTGACAATCTAAAAAAATATATGATTGTCAATTGTTTTGTTGACAATGAAAATTTGGCGATTTAATATATTATTCATTTTATAATATTATTATATTTTAGTCAAGAATAAAAATTTTTTTTTACATATATTGTATTTTTAATTACATATTTTGTTAAAATTAAATACATATATATGTACATATTTTTAAATTTTTATTACATACAAATCCGCACCCTACTTATTACCAAGTATCGATCCAAATTTAATAATCAAATAATTAAATAATAATGAATAAGCTTGTAGAAATATAATGTTTGGTAAATTACTAAATATTGTTTCCACACCTAGCAGATAAATAATAAAGAAATATTTATACATTTTAGCTAGGTTAAGCTAACGATGATATGTGTTAATTGTAATCGGTTTAGTTTTAGTGAACTTAAACTGTTATTTATCTTTTTGATTATGTTAATTATATAAATATTTTTTTATTACATTATGCTGTTATATTATAACATTAAACAATAATGAACAAACTTAACATTTATATTTTAGATTCTGAGCAGAGCGAGGAATGTATTGATTTTACAACGATGTGGGTTATTTTTTGTGTCTGTTATCGTGTTTTGGGGCACTAAAAGTGCTTCGATTTTCGACTTCAGTGTCTTGTTTAAGCAGAAAGTGGATCTAGTTGGTACCTTGAGGGGGGGGGGGTCAAAAGTAAAAAATTCTCAATATTTTTCTAAATAATCAGGATGAACAAACTAAAAATTAAGTGAAAAATGGGAATTTTTACACATAATCAATTTTCGACAAAATCGATTTTGGTTTTTGATGCAACTTTACAACAAATGACTAGAGATACATGAATTTTTTACCGAATATTTATATAAGTATATTCTATCCACCATGCAATTTTAAAAAAATTTCGACTTGAGTAAGTTGAACTATTAATAGGCATATTCAATTTTTGATCATTACAATATAATGCTAATAGGTAGTAAGAGACTTTCAGTTATTGAAATATCAAATATTGTGACATGGATTACTCTTAATAAATTTAAATATCTGAAATTATAAATGTTAATTATTTATGTAAAACTATTAGAAGTGTACTAGATGTATAACAATAATATATTTATTAAACAAATTTTTTAATTCAGGTACGTACTAGAGCTGTATCTTGCAAGCAAATGACCATGGTAACTCCTATTCATCTTCTATTGTTTGGTGCTCGCAAAATTGAATATTCTAAAGGATTTGTCTTATTAGATAATTGGTATGTAATGATTGCCTGCTTAACAAGGAAATCAAATTTATGAAGAAGTTTTCAAAATTTTGTTTTCAATTTCTCTAAGAAAAATATTTTGTTCAACATTATAAATTTTCATTAAAATCTAATATTATTTAACAATGCTATAAATCATTGTATATTTTATAGGATAACCTTAAAAATGGATGCTAAAGCAGCTTCTGCGATTGTAGCTTTAAGACCAGCTATTGAAAGTTTAATTGTCCATGCATCTGAAGAACCAGAATCAATTGCAATGTTAAGTGAAAAAGATATTAGACTTATTAATGTTCTAAAAGAACTATGCAATTTCAACTGTGGTAGATACAATCTTTCTCCGATATCATTCGTTCAAGAGTAAGTTAATGTTTTTAAATTTTTTAATCAAGTAAAATATCCACAATTTTTGTTAAGGTCCAGTGATAGATCAAATTACAAAAGACGGTTTAATCAAACATTAAACGAGAGTGATGATGCTTCAGATGCTAAAGTTCAACATATTAATCATTCCTACCCTAGTTATAATAATTTTCAAAGAGGTGGTAGAGGAGGTTATAATCAAGGGAGAGGTTACGATGGAAATTTTTCTTCATTTCGTGGAGGATATAATCAAAGAGGTTCTTATGGTGGTGGTCGCTCTGTAAGAGGTAAGCAGCACATTAAAAATTTTCTTTACAATTTTAGTTAGATTATATATTATATATTTGTTTCATTCATAAATTTAAATAATTTTTTTTTTATATTTATTTATTCTATTTAAATTGTAAACTATTCCTTGAATAATTTTTTTTATATTTTATAAATTATTACATTTAATTTTAATTACTTTAATTGAATATGTATTATAGTATATCTTACTTACATCTAAGAATACTTGTATATAATACTATTCTATATAGGCCACACTCACCTTTGAATTTCAAATATATTATTTAAAGTTATCAACATTAAACAATAATAAAATTATTTATTTATATTTTTGTATAGTTATGTTTGCTAACCTTTGTACAAAAGTAACTACTACTGTCACCACTCGTGTGTGAATTSTGCACTGTGCAGACATTATTTTTAGGGTAGTCATAAACAATATTGCTTTCAAATTCATACTTAAATTTTGTTTCACTAACTTTTTAGGTAAATTTTACCACTGACTATTATTACCCATTAACAATATACTAACAAGTAATTAGTTACTAATACTCACAAGTCATATTGTTATGTATAATGCCTTACACCAATGCTATAAATCAGGGGTGGCCACAACGAGGCTCGAGAGCCGCATGCGGCTCTTAAATCAATTTCGTGAGGCTCTTGAACCAAACTTAGACTAAAATTAAAAGTAAATAAATGTTCTTTCATTTGTTTTAAAATGAAAAATGTATCTTTATTTTATAAACATTGCTTTACAATGTGTGGCTCACCTCGAATTAACTTTATAAATTTGCGGCTCTCAAAGTTAAGGTTAGCAGGCCACCCCTGCTATAAATATAAAATAAATATTTATACCTAATATATTTTCTTTTAACAGAGCATTTATGATTAATTTAGTATATGTTATATTATACATTATACAATATACATACCAATATTATTTTAAAATTATGGTTGTATTTAATCGAATAAAAATAAATAATAATCTAAGTATACTTTTTATGTTGTTAGGACGAGGTTACAGTGGTTATAGCGGTGGAGAAGGATTTCAAAGACATTTCTGAACCAGATGATTAATTTCATTTATTCATTATTATCATCAATTTATTTAGCGATTTTATCATTTTTTCAATTGAATAAATAATTTTGWTTATATAATATTAATTATATTTAACTAAAATTAGCAAATAATTTATCCTAATTGAAATTGTATTATTGTCTATTCATTTTATACAACAAGAACAGATTATAATTAATATATCATTCAACTTTACATTGTAATGCATAATATGTATTTATGTCTAATTATCACTTTTACTGCCATTTTCCAATGCTTTCTTTTGTTCTTGTTGGTACCTGAAACATTTATTAAAATAACAGTTTTTTATAATTTCTACAATCATTCAACTAAGTTATCTAATGCACCAAACAATAATTCAAATTATTGTGAATAATTTTATAAAATATAATAAATAGTTATAAATTAATGCAAACATTTAACATTTTTTCATTGCTTTTAAATAGTAATAATAAGATAAAATTTTAGTAATAAGTGAAAACTTTAATTGATAATTTTTAAAGCCTATGAGCTGTGGGGTATCTAGAATTTTCAAATTGAGGAGAATGGTACGCCTACAAATAATGCATAAATATTAAAAATCAATAATTAATCATAGATTTGTATTAAATATGGTTAGCAGTGGTAGGGAAAGGGATATGGCTCCTTGGTCTTATGTATATGCCACAACTTACAAGCTAATAATAAGAACTAATATATTTGATAATCCATTAAAAATAATAGTTGTTATTGACATTATTTAATAAGATCGTTTTTAACATGTTTTTAATATTCTATACATTTTTAAACTTTATTGTATTGATGTTTACATTATTATAGATATATTTAAACTTACATAAAAGCTCTGACCAAGTGATATAAATTTGTAGCACCCACAAAAACATTTACGCTAAACAAGCTCCAGTTTTTCGGAATGATTACAAGTGAATATCGTGACCACACGATACCAGTAGCAGCTAATGCTGAACATTGAGATATGCTAATTTTTTCTGCTGGGCGAGTAATATCTCCAATGCCAGCAATAACCAAGCCCTATAAAGGTATATTATTACAATTAAAATGAAACACTCGTCATTAGAGCTCGGATGTTTATGACTTGGCATATATTTTTGTACAGCTAGAATTATACTTGGCCACTAGATATATATATATATATATATATTATATAAGTTAGATTACAAGTTTGCAAACTTATTTTGCATATTTTTACATATTTGACATTTTTGAGCACATAAATCACAATTGCATATATTGTTGATTTCTAGATTAAATATCGTATTTTATAAATTATAAATATAATATTAAAAATTGTCCGTGTTATTATCAATTATCAGTGTTAATTGTATTCATCAGCGACTCATTAAAAAATAGGAGATTGGATATACAGTCGGATTGTTAAAGGTCTTTAAAATTTGAAAGAAATCAGCAAAATAATAGTTATACAGCGTAATTCTGATACTTAAAATACTTGTAATTTATCAGCGTAAAACTTGTAATTAATGTATCTATGTAAAATTTAAAGTTTACAGATTGGTAACTAATGAATATATATTTTTTTCATATTTATAACTGTGAATTTTTTTATCAAGTAATTTTAAATACAGATTTAAGAGAGTAGAATATATCATATTTTTTTCTTTAAATATTTACCCTTCTTTTGCATATATTTGTTGAAAAAATGAGTATACTTAATATATATTAAGGTATATAATTGCATATTTTAATATTTTTAAATATATATTTGAATGAAATTTCGGTCAAACATCCGAACTCTACTCATCATTACCCATTTAAATGCGGGTGCCCAGAAAAAAATTGTCTTTGGACCTGTGAAAATAAAATATAGTGATTATGTCATAACGTTTCTGGACTGAAAATCTAGGTTGTAGTCATAAAATGTATTTATTAAATTACCCGCCGGATGTTCCCAGAGTGGCCTCAAGCCCCGTGGTACAACTTTATCGGCTGCTGAAATTACGGCTTTGTAGACGACCGACATGATTTAGGATATTAGGACGTTCGTCAACGTTCGATTCTTAAAGTAATAAGGCGTATATCGGAGTTATAACTATTACAGACCACAGATATTATTGGTAAAAAAATTTATAATTGTCACTGGTCAATAATAATATTAGTTATAATATGAACTTGAAATGCCCTCCGGGATAGGGAACAAGGTCGACGTTTTAATATTATTCAATATTCAGATTATGGACAAAAAATAAAAATACAAAATTTATTAGAGTTATTGACTGAGGCACTGACTAGTGAGACAGTGAGTAGTGACTACTGAGTGATAAGTTTTATCAGTACACTTTGAAAAAAAGATAAACATTTTTTATCAATGCACATTGCATCGCTCGAAATACGGTTTAAGGTATTCCTAAAATAACGTAAATATATCATAAAAAAGATATTGACCGTTTAATTATTATTTAAATTTGAATTATATTATTTACCTATTTTTAAATAATGTTATAAGTTATTGACGATAAAAGAAAAAGTCGAAGGTCTGTGTCATAATAATGTTGGGATTTATAAATGTACATATATAACAAAATCAAATAAATAGAAAGATGAAAACTTTGGTCTTAAAATAATAAATTTTCCAATCAATAATCAAATCCCCGCCGATAATTTGAAAAAACTACGAGCAATATGAACTCAGATTAATGTAAAAAACAGACTGACATTTAGTCGGTTTCGTCGTTAGATAGCGCTGTAGTATACGATTTTTGTTTTATTTTTATTTAATTTACCAACTTCGGAGCAAACATAACAATAATATATTAAACATTTATAGGAGATTTTAACAGTTTTACGTTTAAATTTTCTAATTAAGCCACAAATAAAATAAATATATTAAAAATAACATAGGTACAAAGTTTATTTAGGAGTATCAATTTTTGATTTTTAAATTAGATCATTGTTTTTTTATTTACAATTTTTAATTTAATAGAAAAATATAGTTCCAAATAATATACCAACTTTAAGCAAAACTATTAGTTGAACTAAAAAAATGAAATTTGAATTTGAAATTTAAGTACCTATTTAGACAAAATATATTATCAATTTCTGACTAGAGTTTAGCGTTAAACAATTAAATAATACAACTGCAGGTGTATAACATAAGATGATAAGTCGTTATTAGTACAGTATTTTTAAAATGCAATAAATAAATGTAATTTCAAGAGTATATAAATTCAAAAAAAGAATTATTATTACTTGTGAATTTCGAAAAAGAATGCTTAAAATGTTTGATTAGGATTGACTAAAAACCCCATTTAAATTGTTTCGTTATATTTTTTTAGATATTATGTACAGTGTACCTACAAGCTACAACATAATATTATATTTGTATATATATGATTAAAACTGATAATATAACGAATTACGAGACTGTTTACCGGGTAAACTTCACACCAAAACATCAAGTACTTTTCCTACTATACCTACTTATGTTGAAGAATTTGTATACTTATTACTTATACCTAAATGACTCATTGTCTTCAATGACTTCAGTAGAATAAGTAGTGACAAATGATACTTATATCAATAACTGAGAAAATTTACTGTCCTTTAGTTACACCAGTTTTGATATTTTTATCTAATTAATTACGCATTTTTTATTATATCTTTCAATTACCTATTGTGAATTATATACACAAATATTAATGTATTTATTTCAATAACTTGGTAATCATAAAATTAATTATAAGATCAAATACCTACCTATTCACATTATCTTTCAAGAAATTATAAAATATTCACTACAGGTGGTTTCTTATACAACGGCCAAGTGTAAATATTTATATATATATATTTTTATCTAAGATAAAGGCTTGAGGTTAGGATTTAGCTAACCGTATAATATTATCGTAGTGAAAATGTCATAACATCATTGAGTGTACCTACCTAGAATACTCAATGCCAATATAGGTATCTATATATTTATCTTTCGTAATGAAATTCGGTCACTTAATACTTAACAATTGAACTTGTACAATACAAATCGAAATAGTTACTTCTTAACAATGTATATTGGTTTCACACAGGTCATTGTAGTTTTCATTTTATACTTTGATGTTATTAGAAGTACGCCTTTGCTTGAAGTAAATCGAATCATACAAATAGTGAATAACATTCCAAAACACACATGGAAGGTAAGACATATTTAAATTAACTTAAGAACGACTTTCAGTTAAGGTGTCTCAAAGTCATTAAAAAATCAAATAGGTATGTATACTTTTGCAAATTTAAATACCCGTTTAACCTTTAGAATGGTTCTTTAACAAATTTAACTACAACGACACAACGTCCATATTAATTATACTTATACCTACATATATCTATATACCGAGGGTTAGTATGAAAAAGAAAATCATTACAATTCATCATAATTCATAACATTTCGAATATCTACAATCTACTAAATACCGTGAATTATTTTGTTTCTATAATATATATATTTGTCTGGTAGGTACCTTAACAAAAAAAATTGGATTTTTAGCTTGATCAGTAGGTATACCATACATAGATGTACATGTACATAATAAATAATAACACGAACAGTGAACACACGAGAAAGAAAGTGTCAACCCTTCATAATAATTCAAACAATATTTTAGTGTACCTAACTTATAACTCGTTAAAATTAATCGAGTGAATAATTTGTTCATCCTCGTATGTACAATAGTGTTTATAAGGTTTTTCGAAACTCCCAAGTCCAAGGTGGCAATATATATATATATATATATATATATTATATAGTTTTAAACGAACTTGTATCACGAAATTTAATGTTAATACATATTTACACGTAGGCACATGAAAATATATTATATTAAAATTAATTAACAATATATCAATATATTATTTAAGGCTGGATTAAATTTCCATCCAAGTTTTTTGACGAACGTTTCACATCTCATGGGAGTTCTACCACGGAACAAACTAAGTGAACAGGACATTCTCCTTACATTCGATGTACCTATTGGTTCTAAACCTCTACCGGACAATTATGATGTTACAGAAACATGGTCCCAATGTATATCGGTTGTTTCAATCAGAGATCAATCAAATTGCGGATCTTGTTGGGTGAGGGGTTTCATCTCTTTTTATCGTTCGTTTTCTAGCGACTAAAAAAGCTCAACCAGTCATCACAATGTATGTTTGTGTAAGTATATAAAACATGTATGAATATAGGCCATATCAACTGCTTCTGCATTTAGCGACCGTCTGTGTATTAGCACAAATATGGATGTTAATAAAGTTTTATCTGGCGAATACATAAATTCGTGTTGCAATGGTAAATGTGGTGATGGGTGTAACGGTGGTCACCCAGAAAAAGCATGGAAGTTTATAAAGAAAAACGGATTATGCACAGGAGGTGAATACGGCTCTAATGAGGTTAGTGTCAAGTGTAACATTTTTATACTTCTATGTTATTTTTTCTTTTCAAAAACCGCATCAAATGATCTTATGCAATGTCTTTTATTCTTTGTCTAATAATATTTTAAGTAACAACTTAAAAGCAAACATGTTACCACCTACCAGAAATAAAAATTAACATTATATGCAGTGGTGAGAGTGACTCAAAATAAGTGGTGAAGTGATAAATATTTATGTGCAGATTGTAAAAAGTAGAGGGATTTCCCCCCCCCCCCCCTAACACTGTGGTATCACCACACTTCAAGGATTGATTTTATATTTTAAACTAACTTAAATATAAACTTTTTATGAAAGTTCGGTACCAATATGTATGTAAGAAACAATTTAAGAAACTGACAAAAAGAGTCATCACCATCCATTTAAATTCTTACCCTAAAATTTATTAAGGTCAGTTAGCTCACATTTTTGGGATGATACTTTTTGAACTATTAACTTTTCGGAATTCCGTAATAACATTTTCTGTTAAAAGACAAATTTGGTCACCAATGTTTGAAACCAAAGTATTAGAAACATATAATTTCGTTAAGATTTTTTTTACTAACACGAATAATGTGTGTGTAAACAAGCAATCTATAAATTAATTATTCATTAATGGATCCATAAAATACATTAATTTTTTTTCAATGATAATCATTTGATTTATGCATAATGCATATAGCATATTTAAAAAAAAAAAGTATTATACATACTTTTTTAGTCCATGTCCACAGTCTACATTTTTTACCTTAAAATTATCACAGCCTATAGATAATTTAAACTTGATTTGTTATAGTTTATTTATAGTCTCAACCACTGCATATAATCGTTATATAAATATAATATAAAAACATACAATTATATTATTATATTATTTTTACCTACCTAGGTATTTTATACTTTAAATATGCTTAAATGATTTAATTTAGGGATGTCAGCCATATAGTATAGCTCCTTGTCCAAGAAATGCAAACTCCACCACCTGCTCTAAAGAAAATGAAGATACTCCCCAATGTTACAAAAATCAGTGCACCAATAATAATTATGAGATTCCATTAGAATCAGATCTGTACTATGGTAAATATTAAACATTTTGAATTTTAATTATGTTAAGTTAAGCAAATTGTCAATGTATTTAGTTTAATTTTTTTGTAGCCTCTAAAGTGTATTCTGTTAAACCAAAACCGGAAATAATTATGGGCGAGATTTATAAAAATGGACCTGTAGTCGCAGCAATGAAAGTCTATGAAGATTTTGTACATTATAAAGGAGGTAAGTGCGTATAAAAGCTTACTAACGTTACTACTATTACTTTAGTACCTAGTAATATTCGTTGCACATCTATGATAATTTAATATTATAAAATTTAATTTATATTGCTGTTTTTAGGAATATATCAGTATACGACCGGTGAATTGAAAGGCGACCATGCTATCAAAATAATGGGATGGGGTCAAGAAGACAAAATAGATTACTGGTTATGTGCAAATACATGGGGTAGCAATTGGGGCATGGATGGCATGTTTAAAATCCGAAGAGGCATAAATGAATGTGGTATTGAAAACCGTATAACTGGTGGATTACCGAAGGTTTAAAAACGAAATAAGAAGATTGAATGATTATCAGTTTATCACTAATAACAGAAATAACCTTTTTTTTAATGTTTTGTAGTTAATACATCTCACCATTCTCACCACTTACCTAAACGTTACACGTTACATAACAGTATAACACAAACTCATAAGTAGTCATTGGGAGGGACTTTTTAGGACTTTCATTTCAAAAGTCATTGCCCCATCATATGGAATTTTATTTATTAAACATGGGACGTATCTATAAATTTACATTGGATAAACTAGCACGTTCCTTAAAAAAAAGAGTCAACTAAATGTCCGCCTATGTATTATATAGTATGTGTAGTGTATATTTATGTATAAGACATAAGTCGATGATCAACTATCAAGATCTAAATACGTCTTGATGTACCTTTTTTTTTCCGTTCAAAAAACCGGGAACGGGTGGGAAATGTTTAGCACAATACTGCCATCCGGTCCCACGTCTTGATGTACCTATCATATTGGTGCCTAAAGTATCTAATTACGTTAGTGTAAAAAGGTACTTAGATTTAAAAAAAACCTTAAGAAATCGGCATCATTATAATCGGTCTTCCCATATACCTAAAAATCGAAATCTGAATATTGCTTTCTGTTATTTTATGTGGCAGACGTTTGAATTGGTCCCTATATTCTTCGATTTTTATCAAATCAATTTTAATAAGTTTAATTTTTGTTTAAAATATGCCATAAATATAATTTTAAAAATGTGCACGAACACTAGAAAACTATATAAATTAATAGATTACAATTTATAGGAACACCGTATAGATACATATTAATCATATTGTATATCTAATTATAATGTTCAACACCTATCGGAGTGTATATATTATGTATTATTAATATACTTAAACTATATTATATTCATTATATTGATCATCGATCTATTCAGTGATGGATAAGACTCCGTTTATACGTCAGTAGTTCAGTATTTTACGCCAACTCTCTGTTTCAATGCGTTTTTGATAATATATCTGATCCATTTGAAGCATAAAAATTCTGTAACTGCTTACAAATCCTGTATTTTAATAAATGTTGCAGAAACCCGATGTAAAATTAACAACTTAGAATTCCTATTTAATTTTCTAAAGTCTTGTGTTGATTTCAGTCAATGTTATTATAGTATAATATAACTTAACTAATAATTAACTTGTAATATTATAATTTAATAGATTGTTTTGGGAATAATACCTATAAAAAGAGTGGCGATTAACACGTTTAACTACGAATATAAACCTTACCTTGACATAATATATTTTTATTACCATAGTATTGTACAATTATTTTATTTTATTCAAGCACTAATCACCTTATATGCTTAAGTTCCGATGTAAACCAATACGGCAATACTGATATAGAGACATGGAACCGATGGARCCGATGGAGATAGTACTTACGAATGTTTCAAATATAGGAGGTTAGGTTCGTGACACGGTATATGATGGYATATATACCTAAGCAGCATGTCAATAATTATTGCCAAGTGGTAATAAAAAATTAAAGTAAATAATACCTGTATAGTATTTTATGATTAGTTTTACCCTTTACGAAAACGAATCTGTAAATCGCGTCAATGATGATGGGTTATGAGAATATAATGTTTTAATATGTTAAATACCTATGTTCAATATTGCAGTATAGTGTATAGTGTATACGAATATACCTACACATCTATACAACCGGTTTTCGCGAACAAAACAAACTATAGGCAATACTTTCTCGCGCTTTAGCCGGTATTCTGATGTTTATAATTAGGCACTAATTTGAATAAACTTCCAGTCTATCATAATTCATAATGCAGGTAATACATTAGTCATTATATTTCATTTCACTATATTTGTCCACATTAAATTTCGCACGTGTAATAAAGCTGTAGTGTATATATAAATTATTTTATTTTGTTAACAACATAACGCTCAATCGCGCGTAAAAGCCAAAAGGTAAGTGAATATTATATAATTTTTTTGTACCTATGTTAATAAATTATAAGGTACATAGGTATTAAATATGTTTCGTATGTTTTCTTTTGTAATCTTATAAGTACATCAAGAAAAATTAATCAATTTCCTCAAAAAAATATGTTCACTCTAAATTTGATTWTTTATCAATCTATTAACTGAATATTAAACATTTTAACCTTTTTTATTAAATTTAAATTTATTGTTGTAATAGACTAGTTTCCAATAATTTTGTTTGGTGTATGAACCATTAGACAATTTAAACAGTGGCGTACATGCACGGTGGGGGAGTGTTCAAACCCAATCCACCCCTCCCCTATGTATTTTTACTATATGTATAGAAGAATAAAAATTAATACAATTTAAATAATATTTTCCTATGCATAGGTACATATAATTTTATTATATAACCCCTCATATTTAAAATATCTGTGTACACCACTATATTTGAACAATGAACTGGCATGTTGGTGTTTGAAAATAACGATAAATTGTTCGAACAATCATTATAAATAACGTAAAACGATATAATATAATATTTATAATTCACAAATAGTAGTAGAAGTGTATAATAATAATGATTAATGAATTACCTAATGTACCTACATAGTACATAATATTTTATCTAATAATAAAAAAAAATACATAATTTGTCTCTCAAATAAATACAAATTATCACCATAATCAACATCTCTTATAGGGTTGTATATAAAATGATGGATACCTATAGGCCTATTATGATTATGACCCTCAGCCATTTTTATGTACAACCACGAATTATGGTATTTGTTAGGTAATAAAAAATAAAATTGTGTAACTATACATTTGTCCACGACATTTTGTTAAATAATAAAAACAACTAACAAATAAACACGTGTTAATAGTACGTCTCTGCACCATYTAGAGTTCTGTAATGGAATAAGGAATCAAGGACGTGGAATGGTTTGATGTGTAAACAAACAATTTAAGAACCATGATGGTCAAGGCCCAAGGGCATTTGAACCGTAGCTCGTGGGGGTAGGTTTACTTATTATATTGATATCGATCGAATGCGTCGAAGATGTTAGACTACTGGAGTTATACACGAAAGTTCACTATATATTTTGTTATTTCACAATAAACTTCACAAGTATAGGTATATATAATATTATATATATATATATAATTTTATAATTTTGTGTATTTTTAGTTTCTTAATATTTCTATATACCTAATTGTTAATGACAACTTATAAATATTTTTTGTAAAACAATATATGTAGTACCTACCCTCCATATAAGACACGAAATAAATAATAATATTGCATGTTTAATAAAGTATTTTCGTTTTTTTTTTTTTTACTCAACTTAAAATTTTGATGACAATCTGTCAAATAGTTCAGTTATAATTTATAATGCGCTGGTCAGCCGTCCATAAAACACTGCGTATATATTAATCGTAGTAGGTAATATTGATTATTTCGTGAAYAAAACAAGTTATACATAGGTTACAATGGTTACATATAACTTTAAAGTARATGTATACCTGTTATTATCTCATGCCGTGAATTTGCGWAATATATATAAGTATAAGATGTATATCTAAGATTGAGAGTATATCATGACCAGGTTCTACACCAAGTTCTTCGCCGTTCTATGGCGTAGTTTACCTTACCAGTTCTATGTACAAGTTATGTAATTTTGGTATAGGATAGTTGGAGGGTGAAATTTTTTCTGAGTATATTCATAAAGTGTGTAGCTAACTAGATAATAAATAACGTAGCTATGTAAAAAAAAAAAATAACAACAAAAAATTTGAAAGGTGCCTAAGCGAAACACGAAACACAACTACATCTTAATATTGCATGTTATTATATATACTTAACCTAACCTAAAACAAATACCTACGATTTATTTCTCGTCTACCGCAGGCGCCTCTTTTACGCAGCGCACTATATGTGTATTATTACGTATATTTATACATAATATAAATTCATATATAGTTATAATGGGCGTATTTTTAATTTATATAGCTGGGCTACAGTATATTTTTTGTTCGTTATCCGATTCATTGATATACCATATTTATCGGATGTATAACCCATTATAATCGATTTGGTTGTGTAGCACTCTGCAGAGTCCATAAAAAAGATACTAAAAAAACGATAATGTATCAGGATACTTGAAAAAATGTCCATCGTCAGAATAAAGTGTCAATGTGAC